ACTCATTCAACAACATATTGTTTTCGTGAAACATATCGTTCACTTTTTCGATGCCGTCGCTGTCGATGAGTCGTTTGCCCTGTTTATACTCCTGTAGCTCTAACTGCAAGTCTTGGATTTCTCGTCGTAGAGCTGTAATCGTTTGACTCGATTTGTCCTGATTTGCGGTCACTTTATTCTTGATATTTTTGGCTCTATTCGCATACCGGAGAGTATTTAATGTTTCCATAAAATCCTAATCAAAACATTAATTTATTAGATATTATATCCAAATGTATGGAAGAATATGTCATTACATACCCGATCACTGGGACTAATACAAGCGATCATTAAAGTCATGCTATTTCCGCCCAAAGAGTCCTGAAGAAGTCGCGTGAGTTTGGAGTCGCGATACGGCACATGTGTGGCCCGTTTGGCCTTATCTCCCAACGCGGAGATGACATTCCCGAGCGCTAAGAGACCGGAGTTGATGGAAATGCCTTCGCGCGCGCGCTCACCGGTAGCGCCGGTCCTCTTAAGCCTAATTGTCGTTTTTGACACACATTTGTCGCTATTATCACATAATTATCACAACAAACACATCCTCAAGACATGGAAATGGAAAACAATGTCAGAGTTGCCATCAGGTATGACACCAATTGTCTTCACTATCAATCATTGACTTGACATGAATTGTAACGATTGTTTTGTGTGAATCAATGGTAGAATTCGTCCACAACTGCCCAAAGAGGTGATAGACATGTGTAAGACATGCACTCGAGTCACACCAACTGAGCCGCAGGTATGGCTCGGAGCCGACAAAGCCTTTACTTACGATCACGTCTTTGACTACAACTCCAAACAAGAGTTCATATATGAAGACTGTGTCAAAAAACTAATCAATGGGTATGTGATCGACACAAATGGTTACCACTAATGATGAAGTGATTGATTTGATTGTCTTGTTATCAGTTGTTTTGAGGGCTACAACGCGACAGTCCTGGCCTACGGTCAGACCGGTTCCGGGAAGACCTACTCAATGGGCACTGGTTTTGACGTCGGCTCCACTTCCGAAGAGAAGGGAATCATTCCTCGAGCTGTTGAGCACCTCTTTAATGGTATAAATGAACGCCAACGCGAAGCCCGCGAACGACGGGAACCGATCCCTGAGTTCAAAGTGAACGCTCAGTTTCTTGAGCTCTACAACGAAGACATCATTGATCTCTTGTCTGACGAGCGGTCAAAGCACTCGCAAATCAAAATACACGAAGACTCGAGTGGAGGTATTTATATCAATGGAGTCAACACTAAGTCCGTGCAGACCGTCGAAGACACGCTTCAATGTCTCAAAATGGGAGCCCTTTCGCGAACCACTGCCTCAACGCAAATGAACGCCCAGTCGTCCCGTTCTCACGCTATCTTCACATTACATGTCAAACAACACAGAGTGACACCAATTGACCAAACATTTGGCGAAGAACTTAATGAACAGATGAACACCGATTTAGGGCCACAAGAGTTCGAGACATTGACCGCCAAATTTCATTTCGTGGATTTGGCCGGTTCTGAACGGCTTAAGAGGACCGGCGCTACCGGTGAGCGCGCGCGCGAAGGCATTTCCATCAACTCCGGTCTCTTAGCGCTCGGGAATGTCATCTCCGCGTTGGGAGATAAGGCCAAACGGGCCACACATGTGCCCTATAGGGACTCCAAACTCACGCGACTTCTTCAGGACTCTTTGGGCGGAAATAGCATGACTTTAATGATCGCTTGTATTAGTCCCAGTGATCGGGTATGTAATGACATATTCTTTCATACATTTGGATATAATATCTAAGAAATTAATGTTTTGATTAGGATTTTATGGAAACCTTGAATACTCTCCGGTATGCGAATAGAGCCAAAAATATCAAGAATAAAGTGACCGCAAATCAGGACAAATCGAGTCAAACGATAACAGCTTTGCGACGAGAAATCCAAGACTTGCAGTTAGAGCTACAGGAGTATAAACAGGGCAAACGACTCATCGACAGCGACGGCATCGAAAAAGTGAACGATATGTTTCACGAAAACAATATGTTGTTGAATGAGTTGTCAAACCTTAGGACACGAATTAAGGCACTCCAAGAGACCAATGAAAGGCTCACTGCAGCCAACACTGAATTACTTGTTGAGAGAGAGACCGGCAATTGGATTAGCTCTGGGACGGGAGACAGGGCTGACATCTCGTCGTTAGTCAAGGGATATATGAAAGAAATACAAGATTTGCGAACAAAACTGATAGAAATGGAAGAGATGTGTTCTCTGCTCCGCAAACAAAACCACAGAAGCGGTCACAGGATGTCAATGAGTCCCTTCCACGGCGGGGCCTCCGTTGCGATGACCGGTCACTACGACGTCGGCTATAATGACGAACAGACCACTAATGAAGTGCTCATTGAAGCGAAGAAAGACATCGAGAAAATGAAGAAATTGACAAAAATAAGAAAGAGATCGCTTCAGAAGGACAGCATTCCCGACACTAATGGCAACGATATTGAGATTAACGGCTCGTCAAACAGTTTGAATGATGAAAATGAAGAACAGGACGAAAACAACACGGAATCAGATGACGCCGAAGATAGTGACGACTCGGATGATGACCAACAGATCGCTCAAAACGCTATCAATGTGGCCGAGAAAGAGCTCTACGAGTTGTCGTCTGAGATCTCATTGAAAGAGAAATTAATCATTGAATTGGAAAAGAATCAGAAAAAGATGTCACAAATGCGTCAACAATATGAGGACAAACTTCTTCAGCTCCAGAACAAGATATGCGAAACGGAGTCCGAAAGGGATAATGTGTTGTCGAAACTGAATTCAGTCGGCACTCAGGGCGACGATAAGGCCAAGAAAGTGAAGGACGAGTACCAGAAGAAGTTGAATAATTTGCAAACAGAAGTGAAGAAACTACAGGCGGCTAAACGGGAACACTCGCAGGCGATGCGCAACCAAAACGCCAATGAGTCACAAATGAGACAATTGAGGAACGAAGTGATGGAAATGAAGAAACAAAAAGTGAAAATTATGGCCAAAATGAAGGAAGAGAGTCAAAAGCATAGGGAGGCGGAGATTCGCAACAATAAGAAGATATCTCTGCTCTCGAAACAGGACCGCCAAAAAGCCATCAAAATCAAGAGCCATGAGGTGGAGATCAGTCGCTATAAGAATCTGTTGAAACGTAAAGACGATGAATGCAATGCATTGAAGAAAAGATCGAAACCAATGAGCGATAGAGTGGCCGGACGTATACCAAACGGCAATCGAAAGGCCAGAGGAGGTCCAGCGCTTCCGTTCTCTCCGGTGGCGGCAAAGATGAAATGGCAACGACTGGAGACCGATATCAACAAAATTGTTTTGAGTAAACAAAATGTGACGATTCAGGAGAAGTCGATGGAGCGATACCTTCAACAGAGACAACAGTTGAGTCGTTCTCTCGACAGAATGAACCGCAAACACGAGTCCGCCATCAGAACCGGTAAATCGGAAAACGAGATCCGAGTTATTGTGGAAGAGATCGAATCGATTGAAGCGAACCTCAATTTTTTAAACGCAAACATCGATGAACTCCAGGCGTCTATCGTTCAGTTGTCGGACACCGAGAACGACGTGACGGAAAAGATTGGTTACCTAAACGCCGAAGAAATCAAATATCTGTTTAATAAAGTGCTTGCGATGGCTGTCAACAACTCATTGATGGCAACACAACGGGAGGAGGAGATGAAAGAGATTGAAATGAAGTATAAACAGGTGGCCGACAGTAGTTTAATTCAAGAGCAACTCCTAAATCACGTGTTGGACACGACTTTCCTCGAGTGTCCCGAAGAGAACAATAAAGTAGAAAAGCCAGACATTCCCGAACCGAATCCAATTCCCTTCGACTTCGAGCATCACTTTGCGATTCCAGCCATACCTCAGTCAACGCGAACCAGTACTCCATCCAAAGAGAAGGCGCGCCGAACCACTCGAACTCCTCAGGAGCTACTCTTCGACATGACTGTTGACCATAAAAATAATTGCAATAATGATGTCATGACTCAGAGCTTAATCGCGCCAAATATAATCACCGAAGAGTCGGATCTTCAACGCGTTCCCAGCGCTCCGTCTCTAAAGTAAGACAATTTGTTTTATCCATTTTTTTATGAAAAGTTTTTCACAAAAAATTGTATTTATTATATTTATAGAAATGTTTTATACGATTTCAGTAAACATTTACTGTATTTAGTTTTTATATAACTTTTTAAAAACAATATTTTAAATATTGAATCGCATGTCAAATACACTATTTTTTTATACATTTCAATAAAAGTGATCATTTTTTCCACAACTGATTGCATGAAATCACAGATTATGTCATTTATAATCGTCTTTAGTTTTAATTTATGTGAAATATGTGTTTTAATTGTGAAAATGTCTGCAAAATACACGCCACACACGTCTATATGATATACGATAATAATTGTTGCAAAAATATTGTTATTTATTTCGTGCAAATTCAGGGATTGTCTATACTTTGTCCCCAAATGTGAACTCTTTTATTCTCCTGCTTTCAAACGTAAAACATACGAACGATTGCCTATTCTTAATGACCCGACTCTCACTCGCCGTATGAGAACCGCAACGCTCTCCTCCTCAGGAAATTCTCTCTCAAATTCTTCTTCTAATCAACCGCTCACTTATGTCTCGAGACAGCTCTCAACGTAAGACATCACTCGCTAAAGCTTACTGTCTGTCTCTGTCTTTCACTCACCCATTTCTCCCTTACCCTCCCATCCCTTTCACACAATTGTTTTTTACTTTGGTTTTGGATTTATATTTTTGCTTTGGTTTTGGATTTGATTTTTTACTCACATTTTAAAACAATAGTTGCGTTAACTTATATTAATTTTATTATTATTAACCAAAATACCAATTAATATGATTTGAATCTAACACTATATTTCTTGCGCCTTTAAATTGTTATTTAAATATACAATATTTACGAAACACAGGGACTTAAGTAGTGATACAACGCCTCCCGTCTCTCCTTCTGTTCAGAGGAGAAATCGTGAAACAGCCGGAAATGTCTTCTCTAGACTAACCAACGGCTCCATAACTAACAACCCATTAAATATCGATAGGTTTGTCGATTGTCTCAATCCCTTTGCAATAATCGCTACGTTTTATAACAAATTCTATAAATGTTTATTAATTTTGTGATTCAATTGAAACTAAAATATATTTGTTTTCAGAGCTGGAAATATAGTCCCCTTTACGGGAAGAAGTGATAAAAGTTCTCCTCTGGTCTGCACACACACTGCCGGTCAGAATGATTTCCATTTGTATCCATTTTATTAAAACCTTTTCTTAAGATATCTTTAAGTTTTATATAAAATATTTTATCGTTTATAAAATATTTTAAAAGTTTGAAATGCATTTTTAATAAAATTTAATTACCATGTGTGGGAAGCCTTGACGCCCAACACATCTTAATATAATGACAGATAACTTAATTATTTTTAATGTTTTTTCGCTTTAATTACATTCACTCCTAAATTTATTTTCATTAAACACTTGTTTTATTAAAATTTTAAATTATTACATTATAATTAAGTCCTTTAATGGAAATTACACATAAATGTTTATTGTATATGTTTATCACGAATTTTAATTTATGATAATCTAAACAGAAGGACACACGAGACCAGTGCTTAGTGTTGTCGCCACTAACGATGTGCTCTTCAGTGGATCCAAAGGTGAACACGTTTAATGAATTGCACACAAAAAACTCATTAAAATGGTATGAATTAATAGATGGTTCCTTAAAAATATGGGACTTACAAACCGGTCAAGAGATCCAATCAATCAACGATCACCCGGACTCAGTCCAAGTGGTGCGCTATAATGAATACAATAGACTGGCCTTTTCTGCCTCCAAATCATTCATTAAGGTGTGGGACCCGAGGGATAGTCCGGCGCGTTGTATCAAAACACTTAAGTATGCATTCAAATGCAACTTATATTATGGCAAACAATAATTACATTTCTATTTTGCGGTCAAAGTTCTTCAGGTCTGGTCAGTCAGAATGTGCCCACAAATATGAATACAGCCAAAGCCGAGTTGGCTCCGGGAGAGGCCCCTATCCTTGACGTCCAATTGAGTACTTATGGCACGACGTTATTCAGTACCTGTTCTCGTATTGTTAGGGTTTGGGATCTCAGAATGTATGCACTTTTTATTGCATTTTCTTATAAATGGTAACTAAAATGCAAATGTATTTATTTGAAGGTTTCATTGCATCGGAAAGTTAAATACCGGCCATAAGGCGGACATAATGTGTTTGGCCGTCGAAGAGGCCGGAGTTGATAACAATTTAGTGATAACTGGATCTAAAGATCATTATATAAAGGTGTTTGAGATGATCGAAGGCGCCGGTGGTATCCATAACCCGAAGATGAGTCTAAAGCCACCCCATTATGACGGCATCGAAGCCCTGAAGATTAGCGGAGACTATCTGTTCTCTGGTAGTCGTGACGCTTGTATTAAGAAATGGGATCTTCAGAGTCAAAGACTGGTTCAGTCACTGAACAATTGTCACAAAGATTGGGTCCTATCGTTGAATACAATGCCGAACAGCAATACACTGTTGAGCGGCTGCAGGAGTGGACAAATGAAAGTCTGGTCAACAGAGAACTGCCAACTCATTGGTGATATCAAAGCACATTCGGGTGCTATTAACTCGATCGATACCAATTCAAGCCTTGTCTTCACCGCCTCATCCGATAACACAATAAATCTGTGGCGCTGGAGGTCTGCCGAGTCGTCACCTGATTATAGCGATTGTCTCAACGAGTGATAGTTTTAAATATCAAAAATATATATCCAATGCATTAGTTTTTTAACGAAACCTAATATCAATAATTTTTTAGTCAATTTTATCTCAAATTCATATCTTCCATAAAAATCATAGGTTTTTACGGCAATTACTATACACTTACAAAACGACTCCTAATTTTAATTTCCATTTTAAAATGTATATAAAATAATGAAATTGTTTTTTAGTTTTTTTGCATAACTATATGAAAAGTGAGATTCCATTCCATATATTATATTAATTTATATGACTTTTTAAATACTGTCCGAACAAATAGAGTAAACACTACTGACAATAAAAATAATTGAATAGATTTATACTCTAATTGAAACAAATTTGTATTTTGACAAAACAAACGTCTAATTATTTATTTAACAATCAAATACTTTATGACAATTAAAAACAAGTTATTTAATTAAAAATTGAAAACAAATTTACAAAATATAGACTAGTTTTTCATTTCTTCCCCCCATTAATAAGTGTTAAAATACAGTCAATACATGTGTTTATATGTATAGCACTGTAAGGAAAATGAATATTTTCTTCGATAAGCATCGGTTATATACTGTATAAAAAAGTGTAACTCATGTTGGGATGCATAGAGTGTATGGTTGACTGACTACATGGCATACCGGCCCTGTCTGTGGCGCTCGTAAGGCACGGCTGTGGCAGAAGCGCCGCAGTATTCGTTATAAATAAGTTTCGCCAAAAATATGTGAAATATCACAATTAGGAATACAATGAGAATCCAGAATATGGTGGGAAGACCGCCATAACTGGTGCCGAACCGGTGAACGGCCAGCACTTCGTGCTCGTGTGCCGGCGCTTCTGCAATCTCTTTCACGTGAATCGTGTGCTTCAGTTCTTTGATGTGTTGTTCATCTGGCGTTATGTATAATATCGCTGTCAAGGGTTCCGTCATTTTTACGGGAAATTCTTTGGGAATAAAACTCAAACTGAAAGGCAATCGAAATAATTTGATTAAATTAGTAAATGTTATCAATTCATTGAAGGCATTCAAATGGCATACATGACGGGCGCGTCCAGACAGCCGGCATCGCAGGCAAAGAACTGTTTGTTAGCCGCCTTCTTGTCCATTGAGACAAATATCTGCGCCTTATTGTTGTCCTGAAGGGCAACCGTTATATTAATGAGTGTTTCGTTTCCGTAAATAATTCTTCGGATGTAATAATTTCTATGCAATTCGTTTGGATGTGTATTGAACTCCAAGTGATGTTTCGTGAACTGAAGAGATGCCATACTTAAGATCATTGCCTGCATTACGCCGTGAGATCCGGAACTGATTAAGTGATGACAGCCCTGTTTCTCGAGTGTCAAGAGCCATAAGTTGGCGATTTTATTCACTTCATTGAGTGTCTCTAATTTGGACCATAATGTGGACGCCTGTAGTGTCGAGTGTCCGTTATAGCAGTGATCCGGTAATAGTAGAAGTGCTTTACTTTGAGATACTTTATGTCCGAAATCACTTAAATTCATTAACTCTGAATCAAACGGAAGTGTAGTCTTCTGAGACATCAAGTAATAAATAGTTGCGTTAATCAGATCTCCGTTCAAAGCATTGGGCGCTTTGGAGTGACTGATGCCGAAGCCACTGCTCCAGAGGTCGTTCCACATCTCCGTGTGATACCTTTCCAATGCACTCGAAGTCAATTCCAACACTTTTTTCACAGTTTCCCGCAACGAGACCTTCAATTCGGGCACTTTAGCCGCGATTTGCGATATCGGTGTCGAAGCGGTATAATTGACAAACGTCTGGACGTGTATTGTCTTCGCGCTGTGGCTATCAATCTCTATGGTGTCGATGAGCGGCGAATACGCCACCACCACAGCTATGCCTTTGTTAAGGTGACCCCAATTGGACGCATCCAATTGGCTGACGAGAACCGAAAAGTCTTTGGACTCTTTGTTGGGCACAAGCATTGACTGTATTTTGACGTTGGGATCGCCCATCCATTCTTTGCGATGCAATTTGATTATTAGCGGCACTTCCTATCAATCATTGACACAACAACTGTCAGCTCTCATCACATAAATCGCAACAACAGTTAACTTACGGTCGGATTTGTGATTCGTATTTCCTGTACGAAGAGGGCGGGTATGAGTCGGTGTGCATAAAATGTTTGCTTTATTGATGCACTTCTCTTAATGTAATCAAAACATGTAATCCTATTCACGATTCCGTCTCTAAATCTAATCACATCGGCGTCTGTAATGCAAACAAACCGTTTTAGTGACCATTAAATCATATCATTAACTCTTACGTTGAGAAACGGCACCGAAATAGTCGACGTCAACGATAGGATGGAAAGGAAGGCTTAAATCTAAGGCTCTTTTGCCTAATATATTGAAACTGTTTTCACTATTTTGTACACTAATCGCAAACTTTCCGTTTCCAATGTATGGCAACAAATGTCTCGCATTTTCTTCGCCCGTTTCGTAACTTTTCCATATCTTTGTGTCAAAATTGTGGTCTTCGGTAACGAATGGATGAATATGTCGTTCAATGCACTCAATGTTATTATCTGTTCCCGTATTTCATATACAATTAGTTATGTTATGCTTTTTTATTGTCATTTAAGAAATTACCCAAAAAAGTGGTCGATTTTGTCCACAATTTGTTAAATATGAGAGGAATTACGTAAAGGATTACGACTAACGCTAAGATTATTATAAGAAAAAGTCTTCGGCGGCTAAATGTGAAGACAATTTGTTAGTGAATTGAGTGAATAGAGGAAAGGTATTGAGGAATAAGACATACGAATAGAAATTGTCATATCGTTTACAACGCCTTAAATAGAGATCAATTGTGTCGAAGACTGCCATCGCTTTCAATGATGCAAAGTATTGATAATATCTATTGTTTTGCATTTGTGTCACCACTTGTTGTCTTTCAAAATTGACGCCAACCTCATCGGTGCTGATCCCAAGACATCGACATTTCAATCTCAATGCAATACAATTTGTTTAGCGATTAATTACAACACAAAACAAATGCTAATGTATTTCACTCTTAAGTAATTGAATAACAAATTGTAATTCAAATTCAAGACTCAAACAAAACATTTCATTTGATATTCAAAACAAATTCACGAATAAATCATTAAAGGATTGAATGAAGAAAACGATGTGAATATGTATTGAGTGGTATTGATGTCACTCTTCGGCCATCGCTTTAATCGATAGTCACGTCAATCAGTGATGAGATAATGGCTTGAAATGAGACAAACATTTGGTTTAATTGTCGTTACAATTGGTTTTGTATTCACAACAAAATCAAAATCTCAAATACATTACAGTTTTGGCAACGAATGAGTCATTGAATGAATGGTTTGAATGTTTCGTAACACAAATGTTGTGTTTATTAATGTTTAGCACAAGAGAGGAGTGAAAGCAGTGTTGAAACCATCGCTGAAAGCAATACTGAATCCATGTTTTCGTATGTTTTGTAACCGCTTTTCAGACATTATTTTTGGTACAAATATTGTCTAACAATCTATTCATTGCTTTCTGTGTTGTATTGGCTTTCAATACAAAACTCATTACAAAATACTGTTTTGTCGATTCAATTGAGCGACAAATGAGAGGAAACACTGTTTTATTAGTGAACCCTTCAATTGTGACCACAAATGCCAACCAATCCATCGAAACAGTGATAATATGATGAACTCTCGCAGAGCTTTCGCCACTAAGTTATCCAAGTATTCAATTGATTTCACTTTGAATTTGGTTTTGCAATCAATTTTCATATTTTATTTCTCCGATTCAATAGAGAGTCAAATGAAACGATTCGCCAAAAGATTGTCAAAAGTCTTCCCAAGTATTTGGCAAACAGTCGTCCAAACAGTTCTTTGGGATGTTTTTGCGAAGTAAGCCATGGATTGAATCGATAGTGTCTTTTCAATGCATTCATTGATTGCAACAAATCTGTCATTTTTTAGGTGCCATTGAATGAAGTGATAGAACCGATCGATTGGGAAGAGTTTATTGTCTCCAATCAGTCACTCATTATTAGCGATCCGTTGAAAAAGTTTCTCTCGTTTCCTTCCGATGACATTGAAGTGAATGTCTGTCAGCGACTCATCCCTACCATTAAGCCTATAATCCCTGACTTCGATGATGTCAGCGCTCAAGAAAACCCTCACATCAATCAATGTCTTCAATGCTATACTTCTAATTGGATTGTTGTCCACAAAAAGTCAGTTTTTGTTTAAATAAACTTGTTTTATAAGTCCTAATGATTGCGCGGTTTATCCATAGATATGAACACTTCGTTCAGTTTAGCGAGAGATCTATTGAAAGATTGTCTCAAACGAAGACCAGTGCTCGGCATGAATACGAGGTCGACATTGAAGTGAATAATAGCAGTGAAAATGGTTTTTGTGACACATCTCAGGACAGAACTCCTATTCAATGTTCGCAATCGACATCATGTCGTACATCGAGACCGCAATCCAATATCAATGATTTGCCGCTCTATTTGCGGCCACCGCTGGCCTCAGACGAGGACACGTCTGAGGGGTCGGCGACGCCCCCATCGAACCGACACTCAATTCTGAGTGAATGTACGCCCACTTCGAGTACATTGACGTCGAGGGACACGACTCCGCGCGGAAGTGTCTACGACTGTGCGAACTCGAGGTCTTCGCGCTCGAGTTGGCATTTCATTGATTCGCCGCGAAATTCAAAAAATCTCGAGCGAACTAATAGTCTTCACTCGAACTGCGGTCCGCGCGGCTCCAGAACCTCATCCATATTCCACTTACGAAACTCACAATCGGATCCACTCATTCCCAACCTCTTGGACGACATTGGAATCGACGAAATCGATCGCATCAACGAATTGCGGCGACACGAAGGAAGACATGACTCAGTGTTCACTCTCTATCCTCTACAAGAAGAAGACGAATTAATTGAATTACGGCAACCAATCCCTCCTCCGAGTGAACCCAATCGACACCGAATTGTGGTTAAGTGTCTGTCGATGAAACTCGAGCTCGAAATTGAGCCCATCTTTGCCTGTATTGCCTTATATGACGCCAAAGAGCGCAAAAAATTGTCCGAAAATTTCTACTTCGATGTGAACTCCGAAGGACTAAAACGACTGCTTTCCAGTCATATTCAATATCAAGACGTGTCGACTCTGAGCCGGTCCTGTATTTTCAATATAACCAATCCGTCGAGTGATATGTTTTTAGTGATAAAACTGGAAAAAGTACTTCAGGGAGACGTCAATGAATGCGCCGAACCCTATATGAAGGACGAGAAGAATCGGGAAAAGTTGAAGACAAACGCAGCCCTTTGTTGCGAACGTTTGGGCAAATATCGGATGCCTTTCGCGTGGACTGCGGTCTATCTGTTGGATGTGTTCAATGGTATCGGAACTAATGAGACGACAAACGGCCAAAACGGTGGCGCAACCAATGGTAGCGAAAACGGCGAAAACAAAGGCAGTTGTAATAGTCTGGACAGCATTAAGAAGCGATGCAATGATTCCGGTTCTCTCAGTCGTAAGGGATCTCTTGAGCGCATTAAGAGTGATAAGAGAAGCAGTCTTTCTGGCGATGAGTTGTCCGATGCCATCAACAACTTCCACGCCGTCACCCTTACCATCAACAGCTTCTTCAAACAAGTGAGTCAACTATTTGTTTACCACAAACTATATATCAAACACTTTTTGCCTGCTTTTTACTGATCCAAAGCATATGCCTTGATGTGATGTTTTGATTGCAATTATAGGCCTTAAGTCATTTGACATTAGTTTATATTTGAGTTATGCTTTTACCGTATGTTTGAAATCCAATGCAAGTAATGAATTATAAATATTTACTCAATTGTGTAATATATTGTATAAAGATAAACAATACAATCCAGAAATGCACTATAAATTTCATTTATAACTAGTGATTGAAGTATGCGTTTAGCAAACTATACATAACATATCACTTAACATAATTTATAAGACAAAAGTTAACACAAGTATTATAATCACATATTCATTGCAAATGAAATGCTATTCATTTGAAGTTTCTATTGAAATGTTTATTCATAAACAATTTCAATGTTTAAAACTGAACAAAAAACATATCAAACATTCAATGCTAATGAGAATGAGTGCATTTTAATGGGTTTTAATTACTCTAATGCTATACAATATTGCGATAAATATCACGAATAGCCTTTGCATTTAGAAGCGAATTAACAATTTAGTATTTTTCCACTTTTCATAGTTTTAATTGTTTAGTAAAATAGTTTTTATTACAAATTGTCATATAATTAGGACAACGACAGACTTACGGACGAAGACTTGTATAAATACTTGTTAGACCTGAAGCGCCCCACTTCTACACTTAAACGGCTTAAATGCATACCAGGAGTGCTTAAGATAGACATCTCTCCATTTCCCGAATCATTTCCCAAATATTGCTTAACACCAGAATTAGTGCGAATACATCCCTATCCCGACGACAAGGGAAGGCCTATCAAAGAGGTGTTGGAGTTTTCCTCGAAAGAAGTGTTTTCTCCCCATTATGTGTACCGAAATATTCTGTATATTTACCCGAAGAACGTGAACCTGACGAACAGACAGGGATCCGCTCGTAATATTGCCGTCAAAATGCAAGTGATGAGCAATGAAGACGACTACAGCTCTCTACCCATTATATTCGGCAAATCCAGTTGTCCTGAGTTCTCGTCCGAAGCGTTCACTTCAGTTAACTATCACAACAAATGTCCCAATTTTAACGACGAAATCAAAGTGAAATTGCCCTCAAAATTGACAGAACAGACGCACATTCTCTTCACTTTTTATCACATTCACACAAAACCCAAACAATTGGATCAAACGACTAATGAGATACTCGGCTATACATGGGTTCCACTGTTCAGAGAGGGTAGACTTCAGACGGGGCCGTATTGTTTGCCAGTGATGATGGACAAACCGCCGCCCAGTTATTCATTTCTGACGCCATCCATTCAAATACCAAACACGCGATGGGTTGACAATCATAAGGGATTGTTCTCTGTTGTGGTCGAAGCCGTCTCAAGTGTTTACTCTCAAGACATTAATTTAGACAACTTTTTGCACTTATCGACGGCCATCGATGAACAGAATATTCCGCAACGACTTTTGCCTAACATTGAAAACGAATTCAAAACAAGTATTCTTTCGATATCGAGCGCTCAAATCGAGCCTTTGGTTCAATTCGTGCCAATCGTGTTGAACCGATTGATCCGTCTGTTAGTCCGACCGCCGGTTATTAATGGCAATCAAATATTAAACATTTCTCAGTCTGTATTTGAATCGATCGCTTCAATTGTGTCGAAGATTAACAAAACTTTGTACTCAGAATACACTGACATCCGAACGGGAATACTGTCCACTTTTATTCATTATCAGGTCATATTCCCGCCCCCGCAGGCCATACCTCATAGTCTTATGAGCCAAACGAGTATGGATTCGGATATCGATCACTCATTTTTTCATACAAACCCCTCATATCACGCCCGAAGTAATAGCAATCCTGATGTGCCAATCGGTACAACCAATGAAACACCGTTTCCCGTAATGAACAAAGGACTCGACAGAGCCAGTAGTGTTCGCTCTCCTCAGTCCAACTCCCAGTACTTATCGGACAAATCAATTGCTTATAACAAGAAGGGAATGGTAACAAACCTCCAGAAGTTATTCCACGAAGAGTTGGTTCTCCAGTGGTTGGTGTCGAGCGGCACGAGTAGAGACGTCGCCCTTTCAAACGCCGGTTTCTTCTTTGATATTATAATAAAGAGTATTTGCGAACATTTGGCCGTTTGTGGAGCCCTTCAAAGCCCTCGTAGGGAACGGTTTCCCAAACAATTCACTGATGATATCATATCATTAGTGAATTTGATTATATCTGATATTATCAATCGATTGAATCGAGAGCTCAAAGATTTAAAGCTCATTCACTCGTTGAACAATTCGATCGCCTTTTTTATACGAGACTTACTCTCACTTTTGGACAGACATTATGTCTTTAATTTGATACGAATTTATTACAAACACATGTCAAACAATATTCAGTTCACATCCGAGACGAGTACAAACTACTCATTCCTCCTACGGCTCGACTTTATGCGCATATTGAGCGGACACGAGCACTTCATTTGCCTCAATCTGCCCTTCGCTACCCCTATCTTCCCGACGACTCCTTCGTCCGCATCGCAGCCCAAATCATGGGATCAGAGCTCACTCTTCTCCCCTCTCGACAGAACTCTAACCACACTTTTAGACCGAATCACAACTTTTAGTGAACTCACCGACGATTACCGACGCCAACACTTTTTGACTGGTATTATATTTTGTTCGCTTTCATTGGCGCTCGAAGTGAACAGCGCTTCCGTCCACTCGAAAGCTGTTAATTTGGTTCGCGCTTTAATGACATCACATGATTGGGACCCTCGCTATAGCGAACCGGATGTCAAGTCTAGAATAGCGTCTCTTTATTTGCCATTAATCGCTATAGTTTTGGACGCTTTGCCACAACTGTATGACTGGAAATCAGAGGATGTGTTTAAAACTGATTCGAGGTCTCCGTCGGTCTGTAATACACTTAAAAGAAATTCAGACGAAAAACGGCGTCCAATAGTACTCAATAGTAATAGCGATTTAGACGACTTGACTACCAGTCCATTGAACAGTCCGCTCAACCAATCGGTTGCGATGGCTATCGCCGGCTCCGGTGTCTTCACTCGTCCCGAAGAGGAGAGCTATGAACCCAGACGTTGGCCACTAAGAGAAGACACGACAAAACACTTGTTGATATGTTTTCTGTGGGTTATAAAGAATGCCAACCAAACAGTACTCTATCGTTATCTCAATGAAATGCCTTTCCATCGAATCTATCAATTCCTAGAAGTGCTCAAAATATGTGTTTCATGTTTTGAATACAAAGGTCTGAAAGTAATTAAAAAAGCGAGTCTTATATCGTTTAAAAAGCCATTTGATCTAAAGTCGAAACTCGAGGACGCGATCCTCGGTCTGGGAAGCGCTCGAAGAGAACTCATATTAAGAAGACGTGATAGAAATCCTCCGCAGTCTTCGCAAAGCTTTTCCCAATCAGATTCTCTTCGATGGCGTAAAGACTCGACACTCACTCGATATAACAGTAGCGCCAATCAGATGGAGAGAACCAAACAGGACTACGAGACCGAAGCCGCTCTGAGCGGCAATCTTTGCGCTGAACTCAATTTAGTCGTATTGGACGCCATCGAGAAAGTGACCATAATTTTAGCCCAACATTCAGACTGTGATAACGAACAGAATTTGCTTCAAAGCAAAGAACTATTGGGAAATGTATTGCAAATTGTTTTGTACTCATTATCACTAAATCAAAGCACATTTGTATTGCAAAACATATTCCCGACTCAGCGCTCGCTTACACTTAAATTTCCTCAAATCATATTTGAAGACGGATTTGACGTTGAATTCTGTGCCGATCTGTGCCTTCAACTGCTCCGTCACTGCAGTTCATCCATAGGTCACGTGAGAGCACAGGCGGCCGCTTCGCTCTACACGTTAATGCGGCAGAACTATAGCTCAAAAGTACAGAACTTCGCCAAAATCAAAATGCAAGTAACGATGTCTTTGAGTCATTTGGTGGGAACGAGTAAGTCATTCAATGAGCCATCGCTCAGACGCTCACTCAAGACAATGTTGGTCTACGCCGTGATTGACGCCGATATGCAAGAGTCCAACTTTCCAGAGCAGGTCCAGGAGTTGGTCTTCAATTTGCATATGATTTTGTCGGATACCATCAAAATGAAGGAATACAAAGAAGATCCAGAAATGCTTCTCGACTTAATGTACAGAATAGCGAAGGGATACCAGAATTCGCCGGATCTGAGACTCACATGGCTTCAGAATATGGCTCAGAAACACACCGATAGAGGCAATCACGCGGAGGCCGCCCACTGTTTTATCCACTCGTGCGCTCTCGTCTGCGAATATCTTCATCTGTTTGAGAACAAGCCTTATATACCCGTCAGTTGTATAGCGTTTCAAAAGATTTCGTCCAATATATTGGAAGAGAGTTTGGTTTCAAACGAAGTTCCCGTCGATAATAAGGACGGACTCTTCACTGGGAAGTCGTTCAGTGAGAGCGGACTCGTGGCTCTCATAGAACAGGCGGCCCTCTGTTTCAACAACGGAGGAATGTATGAAGCGGTGAATGAGATCTATAAACTGCTGATCCCTATCGCCGAAGCGCATCACGACTACAAGAAATTGGCCGCAATTCACGGCAAACTTCAAGAAGCGTTCGTTAAGATTGAACAGCAAACCGGCAAAAGAGTGTTCGGCACTTACTTTAGAGTCGGTTTCTATGGACCAAAGTTTGGAGATCTGGACAGAGAAGAGTTCGTCTATAAAGAACCGTTTCTCACAAAACTTCCCGAAATATCTCATAGACTCGAAAACTTCTATTCAGAACAGTTCGGCACTGAATTTGTCGAAGTTGTCAAAGACGGAAATCCTGTCGATGTAAACAAATTGAATCCCGAAAAAGGTATTAAATATCAGTTTTAATGTTAATACTTATAAGTTGTTTGGGAATTAAACCAATATATTTGTATTTAAAGCTTACATTCAGATAACGTATGTCGAGCCGTACTTTGATTCGTGGGAACTCGACTCACGACAAACAATATTTGAAAAGAATTATAATATAAGTGAGAATTTGTGCCATAATTTTGTTTATGAATTGAATTTACAAAATGTTTTGCATTACAGAGAGATTTATATATTCGACTCCATTCACAATGGATGGCAGAGCGCACGGAGATCTTCACGAACAATACAAACGCAAGACTATATTAACGACTATTAATTCGTTTCCTTACGTCAAGACTAGAGTTCTGGTTCACGACAGACAACAGGTTTGATACTTGTTTTAAGTGTATGTGTGTTATACTCACACCACTCTTTAATATGTGATTAGATTGTTTTGACGCCCATTGAAGTGGCCATTGAGGACATCCAGAAGAAGACAATAGAGTTGGCGAGTGCCACATATCAGGAGCCAATTGACTCCAAAATTCTTCAAATGGTACTCCAGGGCTGTGTGGGAACGACTGTAAATCAGGGCCCCTTCGAAGTGGCCGCTGTCTTCCTATCGGAGTCGAGCAATCGGACGCCACAACAGAGACCGCCCTCTCCTCTGCAAAATAAACTCAAGAATTGTTTCAAAGACTTTTGCCGAAAGTATGTTTTGTTTGAATGTATTATTTAAATGATTGCTAACTGTTTGGATGAACTGATAGATGTGGAGACGCTTTACGAAAGAATAGGGTTTTGATTGGAAGCGATCAAAAGGAATATCAGAAAGAATTGGAGAGAAATTATTATAAATTTACAGAAAAATTGGCGCCACTTATCAGTACTAACGGACAGCAGGCTCTGCGGGCTCTACGGGAAACTTATTGGAACAGTTCGGCTAACATTGCCCTCAGAACTAAACCAAATACTCTTTTATGATTTCGATGCTCTTTCGTCGGGTATTTGTATATACTTTTCATTTTCAATATTTATTTATTTATTTTCAAAACCAATCGTGTATTTCTTATAATGAATTTCTTACGCGACAATAACTATACAACTCTTTAAACCAAAATACAAAATAATGCCTCAAATGACAAAATATAAGAACTATTGTATTATATTCTATACAAGTATTTTAAGAATTTTAATTATTTATATCGAGTTTTATTTATAACTCTATATACTATTTACGGGAATAAGAATATACTGTACAATATTTTCTATACAAGTTTTTATAGATTTATTAACCAAAAAATGGTTAAATAATGAATTTTGTCAAATACTTACGAAACCAATTTTAAGTACATTTTTTTTATAAATTAGATATTTGTAAAAATGAAATAAAAGTATTAACATATTCTCAATTTAAGAAATTATTATTACCGTAATTATTCAATAATTTTTAGTCTTTTGTTTTAAAGTCTATTTGATCCCAAAATAATCTCAAATCTCTCTTTTACAGTACTTTTAAAATTCTAGTCGTTTTTTATACAAATAATTTTTGTACGAAAACATATTTATCTATACATAACATATCACTTAACATAATTTATAAGACAAAAGTTAACACAAGTATTATAATCACATATTCATTGCAAATGAAATGCTATTCATTTGAAGTTTCTATTGAAATGTTTATTCATAAACATGACTGTTTTAAATTAGAAAAAAAAGTAATTTTACTATGACGTGGTTATATACTTTAGGCCTGTCAGGCCTAAAAAAAGCAGTGTAGTTCATAAACAATTTCAATGTTTAAAACTTTGAACAAAAAACATATCACACATTCAATGCTAATGAGAATGAGTGCATTTTAATGAGTTTTAATTACTCTAATGCTATACAATATTGTGATAAATATCACGAATAGCCTTTGCGTTTAGAAGCGAATTAACAATTTAGTATTTTTCCACTTTTCATAGTTTTAATTGTTTAGTAAAATAGTTTTTATTACAAATTGTCATATAATTAGGATAACGACAGACTTACGGACGAAGACTTGTATAAATACTTGTTAGACCTGAAGCGCCCCACGTCTACACTCAAACGGCTTAAATGCATACCAGGAGTGCTTAAGATAGACATCTCTCCATTTCCCGAATCATTTCCCAAATATTGCTTAACACCAGAATTAGTGCGAATACATCCCTATCCCGACGACAAGGGAAGGC